TTCTTGAAGAAAATATTGACATTGTTGATTCTACCTTTTTTTTAACGACCATCATTTATATCCATCTTTGGACGAATGGTTTATGCCTAGAGGGATGCGAATGTAAAAATGCATCCCCCAACCACATATAACACATTTTATTTTATTTTTTTTAGAAGATTTTATTATTATTATTATTATTAAGATCTTGATCAGCATGTAACACATTTTCAATGCATACAATTAGACCATTTGCTTCTAATATAAGGTCACAAATATTATTGACCAATTTGAAATCAAGTAGTTGTTGATGTATCAGTGTTTGGCACAAAGTCAAAAATAAAAGTTCTCAAATATTATGACACACTTTTATCTATTGGGCTGACTAAAAAAATTTATGACATCCTTATACCAAAAATAAATCGTCTCATAGTATACACTCTATTTTTAAAAGAAAAAATTTATATAAGTGCGATGCTCTAAACAATCAAATTAGCACACACCTTGAAAATTTCACTAGAAGAGGTTGTTTTGATACCCAAATGTCATCCAATTGATCATCTCGATATCAAGATGCATGCACATGAGAAAAAAATGGATTTCAAGTAGTGTATCTTGTAATGCATTTTTTGACCGTCAATTTTCAAGTTTTCATAGATTTGCTTGTTCTACATTATTTTTGAAGCTTCAAATTTTATAATTATAGATGAACATATATTTTAAGGCTATCCCAAAGATTTCCAATATTGAAACAACATTTTTCGATACTATTTGAAGGTGCGATTTACTTTGATTGTTTAGAGCCTCGGCCTTATACAAGCCGCAACTTTTTTTGAAATATCTTGCCTCAAAGGGCCTCAACAGTAAAAGGTTAAAACAAATTGAGCAAAATTTGCAAAATTTTTAATCAAAATTCAAAAAAAAAGGAAAAAAAGAAACCTATCAAACTTTAATGAAGTAAGAAAACTTTCTATATTAGAAGGGCATGGCAAAGCCTAGGCTTTATTTATTTATTTGTTTATTTTTATTATTATTTTGTGCTTTAGCAGAAGCTCTGGCCTTATTATTAAAAGTAAAGCTACAACTCATAGCCTAAATTGCAATTTTAATGCTATAGACCTCTATGATAGCCTAAAAAATTTATGTTTGCCCTTAATTATGATATTTAAAATGATGGAGATCTAGCTCCGCTCGTAATGGACATTTCAAATTATATATGGCAAAAGATATTGGTCGAATGTCCATTTACTCCCTCGAGTAAAACCCTACGTAGAATTAATTTTAAACCCTCAATTTTCGGGATTTTAATCTATTCAACCCATAGATTAACTTAAAAAAAAAAGAAGTTCCTAATTGCACCTTGTATGCACTTGAAAAAAAAAATAATGGCTTGAAATTGAAAAAAGACCATCTATTTTTTAGATTATGAGATTTAAGTTTTAGAAAACTCTAGTTTCAAATTTTTTATTTTATAATAGTCATCTATGGACACGGTTTCTATAGTCCATGTAGAAATGAATCATCTCTTAAAAATATATTTTTGAGGACATGTAATCTCTCACATGTAATTTTTAGGGACATGTAATCTCTAACATGGAGATCATGAATATGAATTAATAAATAAAAATAAATTTTGAAAATTAAAAATAACAATTCTATTAAGATAATACTTGAACCGTTAGTTTCAATTATTTTTAGATGGACCACCTATTTGCATCCATATTTAAGATGGATACTTTATACCTCCGGGATCACAAACGTAGAAATGTGGTCCCCCGCCACAAGAAACAATTTTCTAATAGTTCTTAAGTGGTTCCCAAAACTTCATATTAAAAATATCCTCCCAAATAGATCTTTTGACCGAGGGAGTAGGACTAAACTATGATCCCATGGGAACACAATTTATGTGCTCATTATATATTACAAGTTATACTTTCTTTAGGAAATGTTTTCTATACTCCCCATATGGAACTTATATACTACCCCGTATCTAGCCATTCATTCTGAATGGATAGTTGAGATAGACCTCAGTCACAATGTCATGCCTCTACACTATTTTGTTTTTTATTGTTTTTCTACAAACATTTTGACACCAAAATTTGGGCATCCACTCCTTTCTTAAACTCGCACTTGCAAAAAAAATAAAAAAATATTATTGATAAAATAAAATAACCAGAATACCTTTGAAAGTTTCAGGGGTATTTTGGTAAGTTTATTTTATTAAAAATATTTTTTTGTTTTAGGTGCGCCTTATTGAGATGATGGCATGTGCAAAATTTCATATTCATATGATTCGTAGAAAAAAAATAAAACTAAAATACTTTGATGCATCGAATCTGAGATCAAATGGTTAATGACTCTCTTGATCTAAATTGGATGGAGGGAGTATATAACTTCTATATATTAGGGGTACAGAAAATTGGAAAAAGTTTATATGAGGATGCAACCTTATAATGTAGAACTACAGATGCCCCTCAAAAATCCATCGGAAAAGGTAGTTTTAATGTTGAAAAACCCTTTGATTGATGATCTTGACATCGAGATATATGACTATGAAAATAAAAAGAATTTAAGTATCAGAAATAGCGCATTTTACAACATATTATCTACACCGTCCATTTTCAAGATTTTCATATGTTTATAGATCTACTTGATTTTAATCATTTTTTAAATTTAAAATTTTATAATTAAATATAAAAATAGATTTTGAGATAATCCTAAAAATATTTTACATCAAAATTATGTACCATAATAAAATTTGGAGGTGCAACTTACCTCTACACGTACATATGCAACCGTATGCCAACTGGACCCTAGAAAATTCTCCCTATCTTTTCAAGGTGAAGTGGTTTATGCGTGGGAAACGCATCACTACATTTACGTCCCACGAGGCATCCTGCGTCTATTTTGCAGTCTCTCCAAAATAAAGGCAAAATCAACAGATTGCTTCAAAAAAGTTTCCTTTTAATATTTAAATATTTTTGTCATTTTACATTCATGTTCTCCAGGTTAGAGAGTATAATTCTAGCCTAAAAAATTAGTCCGAAGTCCATCTGAACAATGGATCATCAAGAGAGGATGGTTATCTACATATGAGACCTAGGACTCATAAAAAGCGAGTCCCTTTTTAAATATCTTCCAAAGGCTTGAAATCTGCTATTTTAGATCCATACTTATCTAATCTAGGTGGGCACGATCAATTTAAGGATTTTCCAAATTTAAAACGCTACTATAGGTAAAGCCTTATTATGCATAACTTTTCCCTCAAGAAATTCCGTCGTCCTTGCTCATCAATGCATTAAAACCCGAGCACGTTCTAAAGTACATGGGAGTGGCAATGGACCCGATTAGATCCGGGACTGATGGGTATACCCGACCTTAGGTCTTGATATGGGTTTAAATTTTGGACGCGAATACTATTTGGGTTTAGTCTAGATTTTGGACATGAATATTATTCGGGTCTACGTCCAATTGGACCTGATTCATACCCGTAGTCATAGGGTATATAATGACAATCATGTGTCTTAGGCGTACTTTAGGTGTTCATATTGTCACGACAACATTTACAATATTATTGACAAAAAAACAAATAAGAAGCTCATAGTCATAGGGTATATGATGGTAAAAAAAAAACAAAAAAATAAAAACAAAACATGCTCATAATCAAAGGGTGGCAATGGATCTTATCAGACCAAGGACCCGACAGGTCCCAGGGTACGGGTCCAAAATTTGGACCCGAATACTATTTGGGTCCGTGTTTGCCAGTTGCTACCCTAAAAGTACATCGAATGAAAACCATCAAGTTTACTTTGGCCTTGGAAATTTGTTACACAGTCCATTTGGTTAATATTTTCCCCAATGTCTTAAGATTCAGAACTATGTCGGATTATTGAATCGGGGGTTTGAATCCGGTCTCAGTATGAGTAGTAACCAAATAATAAATAAAATAAAATAAAAATTAAAAGGGCAGTGATTTCATGCAACGGTTGTATCATAATATAATGCAGCCGTACTTCTAGAAAATAATGTATGTGGTATTTATATGATCCAAAATTTTGTACACACACTCTCTTCATCTCAACAATCAATTCCAAAAAAAAAAAAATTCAATTTGAACTCTAGATATGGTCAAAATGAGTTCCTTCCAACAACAAATCTAGGCCATTCATTTAATGAATTTCAAGATCTCAGACTTTACAAGTTCAAAATCATTTTTTTTCTTTTTTGACATTGTTTATCTAATCATAATAAAGTTATCTAAAAAAATTGGAAAAGAAAAAATCATTCTAAAACCTAGACCTAAGTATCTTATCAAAATGGGTGCCCTATGTTAATTAGGCTAGAAAAATACCTTTTAAATTGTGTTTTAAATTTTTCTTATTTGCGACTGTTCATTAGAATGAAAATAAGATATATTTTAAAATTTGAATCAAACAAATGACCTTAACATAATTGTTAAAGATTGTTGTATTATATTGCTATACAACTGTTGCATGAAATCACTATCCAATTTTAAAAACAATTTGAATTGGATCTGGATCAGTATGAGTTAGTATCCAAAAACTAAATAAAATTTGAAAAAGGGATTTATGCCGTGGGGATTGAAAGGGACCTAAAAAACCATTAGACAAGTTTTAAAAATAAAATAAAATAAATAGGCAATTAGGGCGTGTACTACGTGAAAACCGGTTTGGTCCTGACCAATTTCCTTTCACATCGACGATATGAATAAAAAATCGCCACATTTGAAAACTGATTTTCCCGGCATTTTGACGTACTTTATCCATGAACTGGCATCGAGGAAGGCCAAAAAGTAATTACTCGCCGACGGGTGCCGTGGAAATGACAGCGATTAATAGCCATGGAAATGATAAACGATAAATCGCCGAGGAAATGGGACGAGTTGCAGAGATAGCCTCGGCACCACGTCCCCGTGGCTGCTTCTGCTCTCTCCGTACTCTTTTTTTGCCTCTTTTCCGACATTAAATAGTTGTCTAAAAAATAATAATAATATTAATAAATCAAGAAAATAAATAATAAATCGAATAAATGCTCTGCACATTCGCCTCTTATTCACTGTTCATTTCTGCGTCTTCAGGCCTCTTCATCAGAGCCTGAAATTTCAGGTAATAAAAGAAAGAAACGATAATTTTTTTTCCATTTCTTTTATTTTCTCTATCTGAATTCATATCATAATTTATCAATTTATGCACCTGCAAATTTATAATAACACCGAACATATTTGTTCCTAGGTTATTTATGTTCTCTGGTTATTCATTTGCTTCTTCCTCGACCTAGGTTTCTCGTTTTGGATAATTTTTGGTGCATTTTATATGTTTTTTTTGGCTCTTTGGAAATTTTTGGTGACATTTTTACTGTTTCATAGAGGTTTCTCATTTGAAATGCTCTAATTTTGCAGAGTTATATGGGATTTTGCTGCTCTAGTTTTGGAGGAAAGCTTCACTTATTTCTGGTACATTTCTTCTTTACTCTAACGAAGAAAATGGTTAATTAAGCAAGCATGGAGAAAATCTGCATTTTAGTGATACAGCATAAAAGAAGCAGCACCTGGCTTCAAATTTAATGGTGAGGAACTTTTCCCTTTCAGCTCAATGTAACAGAGGAAATTTTGCTGTAATCTCAATGAATTTTTCTCGCAGTTTGTTAGTTTTGAAGAAGTATTCATTCTTCAGTGGTGAATATGTCATAAATGAAATTATTGTTTCTAAAAATTCACACATTTCATTATTGCATTTTTTTGCTATATTTCTTCGCTGTGTATACATGGATTCTATCATTTATCTTGACTTGGATGTTGCAATGTTTTCACTATTAGTCTCATGTTAAACATGACTTCTTTTGAGTTCTGAAACTTTGTGTTTTTATCTTGTTTCAGAGTCCCAAATCGAGTCAACTTTGATGAGAGCAAGCATATACAATGTCGCAGCAATCACATCTCCCTCCAAGGAGTCCACTCTTAACCAGAGCTTCACCTTTTACTGGTTCAGATTCCTTGTTTTCTCCAAATCAGAAGAGCAGCGAGGCATTTATAAGACACCAGAGATCTCCATCTCAGAGCTCTGCAATAGAACAACCTCCGTCATGGCTTGATGAGCTCTTAATTGACTCTGAAACTTCGGTTAAAGGTTTCTTCCATAGACGTTCTTCTAGTGATTCAGCTGCTTTCATGGGTGGCCCCTGTGATTTTCCAAAGCTTCTCTCACTAGCTGAAGAAGAAGACGCAATTTATAGTGAAGTGGGTTTATGGCCAAATGGCTCTAGAGACCAGGCTTGTTTTGATAGAGGGGAAAATGCGCTATCTTTATCATGTGAATTATTGAGCTCTCTCAGAGAGAAAACTAAGAAGAATGAAGCTTTAACTAAGAAGAATGAAGCTTTGCATGACTTAGACTTGGCTTGTGTATATGGCCCTAATTCTCCAAGATTGAAACCTAATATTCTGAACTCAGAGGTTTCGGTGGCACCTTCATTTTCAGATGAGTGTGTTGCTCAAAGAAATGAGTTACATGGGGCAGACAATTTCCGTAATTTGGACTCTGAAAATTCTCATGGGGCTTCTTGTGCTCATGACACTCGGCTGAAGGGACCGAGAAGGTTAGTTATACTGAATGCATTTCTCTCTCTCGCTAACTATTTTATTTCTTAAATCTTTTCTGTTCTTTGGTTAAAGCCAGCTTGATAGTTAATCCCAGTTTCACCTTTATGATAATGCTTGGAAGATTGTGGCTCTGGTGACCAATAAGACTTGTTTTTGTTAAGGTATACTGGCATTCAACAGTGTCTGAAAACTCGGCGAGTCCAACTTGGACTTTCCTGAGTTACTCGGACTCAGCAGGCTGCTAGGTATAGAATCAAAACCATTGGAACATGTGGAATCTTGTCAGTTCCCAAGATTTTATTCTTATCTTTTTTGGGACTCAATGGAGCCTCTGACAGTCCTCCTCTGGCAGACTTGGCCAAGTCGAGTTTCCTGACTTGGGCTGGGGAGCATAGCGAGTCCCAACTCGTGTCCTTACTTTAAAACACTGGTACTAAATAGTTGTATTGGAAGAAAAGATAAGATTTTAAGTTTGATATGTTTAATATGATATAGTGAGGAAGCCATGTGTGGACTCTTTCATACATGATAGCGAGACTAGATATAGAAGTTTGAACTCCTATCCGATGCAGAAAAGTTGTGGCTAATGTAGACGGGCTCATTCTGTATTTTAAATCTTTGCAAATTCAATTTACAGAAATGCATTATAATGTGTTTTTCAATACAATAGAAAGTGAATTATTTCTGTATGAAAAAGAGAGACCTTTGGGAAAGTAATGGACTGATATAAGTAATGAATCCATCTTCCATCAGGACCTTGTATATGGTCTATATGTATCTTAATATTAAGAATGGGAATGTTGAAAGTAACCTTCCAGGCAAGTTATATTTTGTACCATTTAGACAATTGGTTCATGCATTGGATATGTTTGGTCTGATTGTAACTGGAAAAGTGATGATCTTCATCTTTCCATATGGCCTTTGTGGGAGGAAGCTAGTTGGCCCTTGGATTCTATGTGTAAGTGTTTTGATTATTTCAGGTTAACTTTCTTCATATTGAAATAGAAATTAAAAAAGAGAAAGGAAAATTGATTAACTTTCTTCATAATGAAATAGGACTCTATTTCCATGCTGGAGAACTGGATTTGAGGCATAGTACTCCGTGTTACATAGTACTCCAATTATCACAGGATACAAGTATTTAATTCATACTATCATACATGATGAAGGAAGCATTACTCTCTATTCTGCATTTGTGCTTGACTTTGCGTCCCCGCTTCATTTATGCTTTTCCATCCCCGTAGATAGGTAAATTTTTTGTTGTGGACTTTTTTCCATTAGCTCTCTTACTGAATCAGAGGATGAGGAAGAAAGTAGCATACTTGGATTTGGTAACCCTTTCAAATAGTGGACTTGGTATGATTTGAAGATATTACATGCATATTCTATTCATCAATTTGCTCACTAATCTGACTGCAACAATACATTTGGTCATGTTGCAGTGAGATAAACTTCCACTCATGTTTGAAGCTCTCTGTCCTTTATTGGCAGTCCATTCTTGACTACTAGAGGAAGATCATAAGATCTCTGTCCAAGTTTGTCCTTTTAAAGAGGTCCATATTTTTTATGCGCTTGAATTATATAGTGGCTGGGTGTGACCAAATGACTTAAAATTTCCCTTGTATTTCATTTTAACCTAGTATTAACCCTATGCAATGCATGGTCAAATACATGAGAGAGAGATGGTTTAACTAATTGAAAGTGAAATATCTAGGACAAAACCTATAATTTTAGGAAGAAAAATTGATAGTAGAAAACTTTTAAATATTTTAACTTCAAATATATTTATCAAAATATTACACATGTCGAACTTGTAATAGATGTAGCCACAAAAGAGAGCATTTTTCAGAAAAAAAAAAACTCATATTTTTAGATGGGGGTATAAACAAAGTTATAGTACCGTACACAAGAGATTTCTGTTCTTATGAGATTAAGGCATTTAAGCATGAGTTTTTTGGGGAAAAATTCTGAAGCCTTGTGTGATGTATGAAGAGTGAAATAGAGAGCTTTGAATTTGTTTTTGTGAAATAGAGAGCTTTTTTTTCTAGGGTTATTGCAAAAAAGAAGAAGTTAAGCTACTTAGAAACCACAAACCGATATACAATTTTTAATATTAGTTTAATTTAAATTAAAAATAGTTAATGTAATTTTAGAAATAATTTTAATAATTTTATTACCAACTATACTAAATGTGGGATTGGAGGGGTGGTCACGTGTTTTAAATTACCCTTGTTCACATGTATTAATTTCAAGAATATTCATGCTACTCCAATTGTTTTTGGACAAGCTTCAGAACACCCCCATTTTGTTTTGAAACTCGCCTCATCGCCAATTTTCATCGCCAATTATTGGATAAAAATTACCCTAGTGTTCAGGTACTCTAGAATAATATATACAAAGCTATCAATAGATTTTTGGAAAGAATGCATATCATTTAAAGCAAGTGGTATTTATTAATCAATTAGTAGTGTATTTATGGGAAAGGGGCTAGATTCGTTGTGGTAGCACCCTGACACCTAGTCACCATGTTATGGTTTTCATTCCCACTGACATTACCCTATTAACACCTTAAAAAAAAACGGGTAGGGGCATGTCTTCCCCACTGAATTAACCCCCCCAAAATAGTAGCATATATGTTAAAATAAATTTACTTTATTATTCATTTTTAGAGGAATAATCAATGAAGTGATATTTATTTGCAATTAATAATTTTGAGCTTCTCCATACCCTTGATTTCCATAAATCTCAAAGTGACTTTGACACTAATTGCGTGTTGCATCTACCCAATATAGGAATAACATTTCTCCATTTCCAGCTAAAGTTTCTATCTTTTATATGTCAATTTAATTTATATTATGTTTAAAAAAATTGTGTATTAGTTTTTGGTTTGTATGTGTCTTAAATTTTGGTCTAAGAAGGGTGAGGACCTGAAAATTTCCCTTGGCCCATCCCAAGCCTAGATAAAACTTTACCAAAACTTTCCATGAATCCTGAAGCAGAATTGCCGACCAGGATTCGTGTAGTCGATCTCAAATGGTTGGGAAAAGGTTTTGATGATGATGTATCTCAAATTTCTTCAACTATTCTAAAATCTGTGCATATCACATTGGGCTGCATGCTAGTTGGCTATAATTAATATGGCTTTCTTACAAGGGCGATGTTTTGGTATGCCAGTCCACACATCTGTTTATATGTACCCCTGCTCCAAAATCCATATTAGAGATGGATTTTGGAGCCAAAATTTCAAGGGTAATGTTCTAGACCATGGTGATCATCTGGAAAAAATTTTAAACTTAAAAATGATATTTTTGAAACTTTCTTTGTTTGTATTGTTTATATCACTTCTTCACAAATCATCAAATATGCACCATTTTTGGAGCGTTACATCCTAAATCTATGGGAAACGTAGGTGGACTCATGAGTCCATGAACTCATCCTGGACGTCATGTGCTTTCTTTCCAAAAACCCCTTGATAGTTTTCTATACATTAAAATATCAAATGCCTCAAAGTCAGAGGTACCTTCATTAAAAAAACTGATGTTGGTAGTTTGGAAGCAAAAGATGGATGTTTTGAATTGAGTGGGTTTTCTCTAAATTAATCATGTGAACATGGGTTGTTTTTAACGACACACAACCACCCACCTGAACCCACATTTAGTATATGGTAATAGATGTTTGAGATGCAAATGGGAACAAGTCTCAATACAGTTGAGAAGATCGATATACCTTGTGGGTGATGTAGTGACAAAGAGAGACTCTCTTGAAGCACACATTTGGGTACAAACTTTAGTGCGGACTCAAGCCATTTCTTGGTGCTTGTTTCTGTAGAAATAAAGATTTACTATAGTTTTTATAGAGTTTATAAACTATATTCATGTGGCTGGAAGGAGGGTTGCAAGATCACATGGACCTCTTTTTGCAAATTTCCATGAAGAAATGCAATTTTTTGCATGTGGGCATTGCATATCTTAACAAGTTTAACATATGAAACATACATACAGTAATATGATATAAAGGAACAAGTTTAACATATGAAACATATATACAGTAATATGATATAAATGAATAAAGAGTTTCATGCATATAAGAGTGAAAATAAGATAATTTACACAAAAAAAATAGTAATATTTTTAGAAGTGAATATCCTCTTTTATTGAGTGGCAATACGGAATTGGTCAATGGTTTACTATCCTAAATTGGTTTATTATGTATGGAATAAGTATAAACTATGAATTTAGATGATAATATCTATTTATTTTAAATTGTCATATATTCTAATTTCAAAACTTATCATTATTGTATATCAAATTATAAAATTTAAGGTCATTAAATTTGATTACTCTTTTCTATATTGGTTCATCTTAGGCAGTTTAAGATTAGGCATTATTTTCTCAAGTTTCGTGGTAACCTCACCTTTTAGTGATGCTATCTCTGATAAATATGCTTAGGTCAACTACTTAGAACTCATGGTTTAAATAAAGAGTATAGTAGTTTATATGGGGTTTCAACCTTAAACAATCAAAGTAGGACCTCCAAACGCTACCTCAAGATGCAATTTTGGTGCCAGAAACCCCTAAGATGGCCTGAAAATCTTTTTCCACCCCTAATTATGAAATTTAAAGCTTTTCTAATAAAACTTGTGAAATTTAACACTTCGAAAATGGTGCAAATCGAGCATATCTTTAGACACTTGAAAATATTGAAAATGGTCTACATAATATGTTTTAAGATGCACTACTTTTAGGATTTAGAAATTCTTTTTTCCATATCCATACATTTGGAGGTCGAGATGGGTTTTTAGGTACGCCTTAATTTTATTGTATAGGGTTGATGCGTTATCTAAACTTAAGTAAATCTGATATGTCTTTCCTCAATTATTAAGGTGCCTCATTAGATTTTGAGGTCATTTGCTTATAGTTTTGACATTTAAATGAATTCATAGACAGGGAATATGCCTCTCTGTAATGTTATTCAATGTTACATGCATTTTAAAAATTCAATAAATCAAAATAAGCCTCTCATTAGATTAACAAACCGTAGAAGAGACTGGGGCCCATGTCCATGTTTACAAACATAGACACCTTTAAACTGTCGCTACTTCCATTTTGGCACCCATTATGGGTGAAATGTATGGATACCTTTGGTCTGACCCATGTATTGATGTGGCGGACACATGACACCAGTCCCAGAGGCAGGTGTCAATGTCACAGTGATTGCAATGCTCAATTCTTCTCATGGCCACTGCAGGGGGTTTGATACCATGATAACTGTATTATCCTAAGTTCGTCTTCCAAATGAGCTGTGGAATAAGAAGTAAAAACATTTCACATGTACATAATCATATGTATAGATGAACACAATGGGCATAGCCATTGCCAAGCTTTAAACTAAGTTCTAGAATTTGCAGATTTGGCTTACCTTAAGTTTGGGTGATGACAAGGGTTGTGGTCATATCATGTAGTCAGCTTTCCATTTAAAAGCTTTCAATTTGTCCGATCATGTGGTCAGCTTTTCCCCTAAAGCCATCAATTTGTGGGTTGGATGAAGACTGGTATTTTGAGTTTTCATCCAACAAAGAAAGTAGTGATGTTTTATGGGTGTATGCATACCTGAACCGGGAGATAAAGATCACAACCAAAATGTGCCACGTAAGCATTGCTCACCACCCAAAGCAGCACTGAACCATGGTTTGTTGCAGCATGCAATTGAGACTTTAACTTCAGACCAATCAATTGTCCCATCTAAATCCTTCCTTACCGGATTTGTCTAGAGGAGCCTCAATACACACATTTGGTTGAAGAAATTAAGCCAAAGAGGTGGCCTACAAATGTCAAAGAGAAGACAAAGGTTTATCCAAACTAGGGTCAAAATAATGTTAAGAAGATTTTAGGGAGACAAAGACTACGGTTCAAAACCAAGCAATAGTGTAAAAAGTTCCAAGTCTGGAAAATATTCAAATAAAAAGGGACTTACAACACAAAATAACGACTGCAGATATGTGGATCACAATCAGAAGCTATTAAAGACCTGAAAAGTATCAATAGAAACTGAGTGACTAAAGGAAAAACTTATGAGGTAATGAAGATGATAGTAACGCACATGTACATAAATTAGTGACCAAATAGTTGTGGCTCTGTCTGCAAATTCTCGGTCTGTTTTTCTTATAGCCTGTGAAAGTACAAAATCTGATATCATATGAAGTTAAAAAATGTGGTGTATTACATTATATTATACTGTAGATGAGAGAGTATCCTCTTATATGCATTAGGAAAAATATAAAAGATTAATGTATCCTCACTAGCTAGGATATCATGTCTAGCATGGAAGTTGGTGAGATGAGAGTCTCAGGTGTAGTGTATGTTGGTAGCTCTTAGGCCATTTTCATTGTAAAAATCCAATTTTCAATGGCATTTTTGTCTTTTGAATATATTGGTTTGTCATCTTTTTGATATATAGGTGAAGCAGACTAGGTCCCTTTGACCCTGCTGGTTCTGTGGTGTAGGACCAAGATTCTTGGTTCTTACACCGAATCGATAATGGGTGTAATGGGGTTGGGCTTGTAGGATTTGAGGATAGGGCTTTGGAAAGATAAAATTAGAGATTGAGGAGGTTGGTTGTTTCTATGGACAAGGGTTTGGTTGGAATTTAGGGTTAGGGTTTTGTAGAAGGTTAGGGTTTGTCATATTTACAAGGAGCTAGTTGGTGTTGATCTAGGGTTCTTGTCATGAAATATTGTGGATAGTGCGGAAAGTAGTTGAATGATAAAGGAGACTGCTTATGAGGATGGCATGGTTTGGTTAGATTTAAACCATGTTTGGCTAAAAGCAAAGACGGATCTACCTCTTATTTTTAATGGATGTGTTTCACAAACTGTATTAAAACTAATCTATGGTTGAGGGTGCTTTGGTTGCCATTTTTACACCTCGAGCCCTCAATTGAAGCTCACTGTAATTTTGGTCAAATTCACTTAAAATTTTAATGTGATTCCCTGAAAATCCATAATCTCTCTGAAATTCTGCAATTCCCTCCAAAACTCCTGCCAGTCTTACCCAAGGCCTCTTTTTGATCTCTCTCTCTCTCTCTCTCTCAAGGTTCCTCTACATTCATCGCCAAATCCCCCTTTAAATTTAGTCCTCTACGACTCCTTCAAAGCCACCACGATACTCAACCAAAACCTCTTTCTGATCCACAATCTCTCTCTCTCTCTCTCTCTCTCTCTCTCTCTTGGTGCCCAATTTCTCTCTCTTTTGGTGCTCTACTTCTTGGGTTTGGAAGAAAGGAATTTCAGAGGTGAGCGATAAATGATGATGAAGAAGAATTGACAGAGGCTGGGGTGTTATAAGGTGAAGAGGAAGAGAGAAGACAGGGAAACAGGTTTAGAGAGAGAGAGAGGGTGTGTTGGGGTGGGGGTTATTGCTTTGATGTGTATCAAGGTGGTCACAAATAGGAGGCGACAATGCTTTGGACTCTTTTTACCAGATATTCACCCTCATAGAAAATCCTGTTCTTTTGTAATCTGAAAGCAATTGTGACATGGGTCTTCTTCAGGTCCTTCGGAGGAGGGGCACTTAACTATGTACTTTAAGTTGTTGTGAATTTAAAGATCTTTTCAAAGACACGTGGTTTCTTTCTTTTCCAATGGCCCCGTCGTTGTTTTCTCTGAGGGAAGTGGCAGAGAAAGTGAGAAGAGTGAGAGAGGGGCAGAGGCAAAGGTTCTATAAAGAGAGAAGGGAGTGACAGAGGAGAGAAAAAGGTGAGAGAGTTCTTTTTTTACTGAGAGAGAGAGAGTCCTTTCATTGCCTAGAGAGTGAGGGACCTCGTTTATTGTTTGGAGTCGTTGATTTTTTTGTGATAAGGCTTCTTCTGTATCTTATTTGATTTGGGGGTGAGAAGAAGAAGATAAGCGGAGAGAGAGGAGCAAGAAAAGAATTGGGGGTTGAGAAGAAGAGAAGCGTAGGTAAGAGAGAGGAGCGTGAGAGTAGAGAGGTTCTTAGAGAAAGAGAGTTTAGGTATGAAGAGAGAACGCCGGTCTTAGGGGTGTAAATGGGCTGTGTCCAGTCCCAGTCAGGCTTGACCTGGACCGACCTCACAAGTCCAAGGTCAGACCCGAACCCGGTCGAATCCAAGTCGACTAAACCCGGATTGACTTGTCTGGTCAGGTTGGATCTGGGTCATGACCTGGACCAGACCCGACTTGATTAGGTCTGGACCAGACCCGACTTCATTAGGTCTTGGTTGGATTCGGACACGACTAGACCCTACTCTCAGGTCCATATTTCCGGACTTGAATCCAGAAGTTGGACTCGAATCCAGACCCGAGTCTGGTCGACCCATTGGTCTGAATGTTGACCCGACCCAATTGACTTGACAATGCTAAGACTTTTGTTTTTCTTCCATGGTTTGGCCCTTCGAGCATGGGTAATTCTCTATTTAACATAGGCATCCAAACATGCCCAAGATACTAAATGTCCTTTGCTTTTTCCAATCCATCATTTGGTCCTCTAAACCATGGTTTGGCAACGAAACATGCCCTTAGAAGATGGAGGATTGTTTGATGACAATGGCCACAATGATTTGACTGGTTTGAAGTGTGATTTTAGGTGTGTTGGTTGTCTACAGTGTGAACGAGATTGCAGCTAGTGTTTTTGTTGGATGGACAAGGTTGACTATGGAGCTTGTACCCGGGAATGCGGGATATAGTAGGCGGCCAGAATATGTTACTGGTGAGTGTAGCTGGTGTGTATGTAGTGAAGAATGTGAAGGTTTGAGTTACTAATTTTTTTTCTTCTTTCTCTTGTTTAAAGGTTATGATGGAAGAGATGTGAATTAAAAGCTGATCGATTTTTGTTTATTCAACGAGAGAAATTAGGATTGCAGTTTTCTCGTGTGTCCCACAAGTGATGGAATTGCTAGTAATTTAGACGAACTTTAGGATCTTGGCTATTTGACCAGTGTCAAATGAGTTGTCGACTGAATAAGACAAATAACAAAAGATGTAGAGTACTCAAACCACAAAAATGTACAAGATTTACTTGTCTCCACCACACTAAGTGAACACCTTCATATATATCTAGCGAGTGTGCGATAATTATTTGTGTCTTACTTCTATAAAATGAATTTGCCAATGTTATCCTTGTGCTTCTCTTTTTGATAGTAGGGGCCAATTTCACTGCAGGCATCCTGGGCAGCGTTCTCGGGTTCGTAAGCTTCAATACATCGCCGAACTTGAAAGAACTGTCAATGCCTTTGAGGTAGTTAATTGATTGTATAACACATAAGAGGTTGTCACCTAAAATGGATAATAATTCTAGTTATGCTCCTAGCCATTAGATTTTGATTGGATGGTTGAGAATGAATGTTACTATTTGAATTTTAATATTTGAATTTTAATATTTTTCTACAAATGAGTTTAAGCTTTAGGCATATTTACTTGACATCATCACACACCAGAGAAAAACATAAGACAAATATTTCCAAAAAATAAAATGACTAAAACATCTGAGATTCCAGGGTATTTTGGCCATTATTAAAATTTAAAAAATGTTTGTTTTATATTTTTCTGTGCAATCTAATATGTAGCACACATACCTAAAACTTCAGCTGGATCCGGCTTCCAAAGAAAAGGTTAAAATTCAAATATAGTTAGGTTGCAACCTCTTTGTAGCTTTTTTGACGGACACATAAATGGAGAGAGAGAGAGAGAGAGAGAGAGAGAGAGAGAGAGACTTTGACAAGGTTACTTTCTACAAGTTTCGAAGAGAACTAGTAATTGTGTGATATTTATGAATGGACAAATATATAAATACATAGCCCATTTTAGAATGAATCTTGTAGATGATGAGTTTTACTCCTTCCTTCACAGACTTTGAAGTCGGAGTTCGCAGCAAAGGCTTCTTCTCTATTTCGCCAGCGAGTTCTATTGACAATTGAGAACAACACACTCAAGCGGAAGATAATCAACCACCAGCAAATGATAATGATCAAGGATTGTAAGCCTAAGTTATTGTAGTTTTCCTTTCTCAAAGGAGGGTTTGTGGATATTCCTTTTCTTTTCTATTTTGTGTATGTTTCTGTTTTACAATTCCTAAAGCCTCGTCTATATGTTTTCTTCTTGAACCTCTCTACTCGTTGTCCCAATAGAACTAAAATACGATACCATGGAAAATATATATCTTTACATGGTGACTTACAGACTCTAGTTGAGTACCGCTATGATAGATGACATGGAGATAGAATTTAGTTATTAGTACTTGAGAGAGAGAGAGAGAGAGAGAGAGAGAGAGTATTTCTTTTTGAACTTAGAGTCTGTTATGTTCATTTACTAGATCATGCGTCATGCGTGCAGGTCAGCATCAATCTCTGAAGAAGGAAGTTCAGAGGTTAAAGATGGTTCATAGAGTTGAGCCAGAAAATAGCAGCTCTTCATCTCACTCTAGTGACAACCAAACTAAAGCAGCGGCTCATGATATCAGTTGGCAACTCTTGGAGATGGGCAAGCTCAGTCTTGGTGGAAATCCTATCCCCTTAAAACTCGGTTTCAGAAGCTAACCAGCTCGTAAAAATATTTTGTCCGTTTAGCTCTCATTGTAAATGTTTAAAAACTACACCATCTCATTGCAATGTTTTGTGAAGGGTGAGTTTGGAGTTCCTTTCCTGTATCCTCTTGCTTTTTTTATGTTGTTCAAGGTATTGATTTCTCCCTCCATATTCCTATATTTGTGCAGTGCTCTTTCTCGAACTTTATGGTAGGTGTATAGCTTGTCATTTTTTTGGTGGGTATATATTTTCTTTTTACATTATGAGCGTTTTATCGTTTTTAGTTTTTATTTGTTTACCTTATGGGAAGTCCTGATATTTTCCAGATATGCGTTTGTGCAGCATGTGTGTGTGTGAGAGAGTTTCTAGTTGGTTTCATGTGTGTTATATTTTGCCCTTTCCTATTACTGTTCTTTTTTGTATTTGTTTCTCTATGAAAATTTAGGCTTGTAACTTAGCTATTATTTGTTGATAACTTTGAAAGAAGAAAGCGCAATTTGGTAGCCCTTTTCGACTGGTGGAGTCTAAAGATTCAGTTGTGATACTGGCACAAAACCATTAGACAGGCATACCGTGTGCATGTGTCCCTTCCTTGCAATTGCTTTTTTGGTGGCCTTATTAACCTCTTATCTTTTTCTCTGAAAGCTAAATGGGCTCAATTTCGCATACCATCACTTTTGTACCTCTCCATTAGAAAAGTCTCTCTCTCTCTATCTATGGGCACTTGATACTTCTCTACAAGTGAAAAATTACCGTGTTAAATCGATGGTTCTATGGAAATAAAGGCATTAACTAGGGTCTGGTTCCGCAGGTATTAGGTTGGTTGTTTTCGTGAAAGCCTGAATTTAGAAAAGGCTCGCTAGGGCTTAAACTGGTCGGGTTGGGTCTGTATTGACTTCGGCTCGGTTGATATGGACAGGTCAGGTCGGGTCTGGATCAACACATAAAAAAAACTTAATATTAGAGGATTTTACAGAGTATTTTATATGTTTCTAATGCATAATTTATGTACGAGTGATGTTTATATATGGTGTCTACCTTAAACAAAGTAATTCAAGCTGGAAGATGTACTTCTAGTTCTAGTTCTGGTGTCAAAAGCTTTTCAATGAATTGAAAAGATATGTTTCTGTACCTTATTATAAAATTGAAGTTCCAAAAAACCTGCAACTCAATAAATATCTAAAATTGTGAAAATGAATGGCTTAGATGATGTTTCGATGCATTAATCTTAGGGCTTGAAATTATTTTTCTTTGTATTCATGCATCTCTAAGTTGAGATGATCACTTTGAAGGATTTTTAGCACTACTTTTTTTAGTGGATTTTTTAGGTGCATCTTATTTTATACTATTTATTATTTTAGATGAATATTTTTCTATGTATGTGTTGGAATGGTAATGCAAAATCACCTCCCACTTGGTATTCACCTTTTTTATTAGGGATATTTTGTCATACGAAAATGACCTCTGACGAAGGCCCATAAAAGTGCATTGTAGAGAGATGAAATGTAAGAGAGTGAAGAGAAGTATTGGGGAGATAGAGATTTGGAGTTTTACACAAACCTTAGCATTGTTGTGTCCTTGTATAGGGTTGGATTTCATCGGCATTTCTTTGGGGGAATAGAGTTGGCCGACAGTGATGGAGAAATGAGTCGATTGATGGTAGTATTGTGGTAAGAAAAATCAATTTGAGTTTTTTCGGTTGCCCGTTTGTATTTAAATTTTGGGTAACCACATATATTTGTGTTTGATGGTGATTGGATTATAGTTTGTAGTGTGGTTGTATTTTTTAATCGATATTTTACTTCTCTTAATTTCATCTTATTTTTCCCAAATTCATTACACTATACATGGTTCTTGGGTGTTTTGGATTTATTAAAATCGATTTGCCAATGATAGATGAGTTGGTTTCAAGGTATTAGATCTATTGCAGTGTGGGTTCACCTCAACAAGAGGTAATCAAGAAAGTGTTAGATATCAACTAGTATCAGAGTTCAAAGGATGTGTGCAGTACTTTGGGAAAATGAATATTTACAAATTTGAAGGAAGAAGTTTGATGGAAGATAAGAATTTGAACTTTGGAAAATAAAAGTTCATGATAACCATGTCTTTATAAATCACTACAAGAAAAATTTAAGAAACTAAAAAGTATGAAAAATGATGATTAGGAAGAATTGGATAGGGAAGTGCTCGCAACAATTTTGCTCGTGTTTAGCGAATAAAATACTATTTAATATAGTGGGAGAGAAGACTGCAGCACATTTAAAGGTAAAGCAAGAAAACTTGTAACAAACAAGGTTCATCACAAATCGAATGTTCTTAAAAAAAAAAAATATTATTTAAGGATGAAAGATGGTTTGAAAGCGGCAGAACACTTGAATGAATTCAACAACGTAATTTGTCAACTCGAGAGCATCGGGGTGAAGATGGATGAGGAAGACAAGGCGGTGAAATTGCTACATTTGTTATTGGAGTCTTGTGATAATCTTGTTGCAACCTTGAGTTAATAAGGAAGAATCCTCAAATTGGAATCGGTTTGTGGTACTTTTCTTGCCAGTGAAAATCAAAATAAGGTATTGATGTAATGATTGGATGGGTTTAAGGATAGATGTTCTTGTGACAAGAGGCCCTTTGGATGAACGATGTGGTTCATCTAGAGATTCCTCAAGTAGTTGATCAAAGTCAATAGGTTCTTATAACAAAAGTGATTGTTGGTTTTATGGCAAGCCTGACAACATAAAGAAAAAATGTTGAAAATAGCAAAAGGGAAAATTCCTTAAAGGGTTCTGGTTTGGGAATAGAATAACAAGATGACGGCAAGAATGAGGCTCACAAAGTTGAAGATCAACATCCAGTTACATTGAAGATGAGGTGTTGATGGTAAGATGCAATCCCATGTATTATCAAAGTTGGGTCTTTCATAGTAGAGCTACACATCATATGTGTCCACATAAATTGTGATTTGATGCATATGAGTCATTTGAGGGTAGATTAGCATTAATGGGAAACAACTCAATGAGTAAGACGATTGGAATAAGATTTATTCACATAAAAATGGATGATAGAATGTTTGGGCACTTGCAAATGTGAGACATGTGTTGGATTTGAAGAAGAACATAATGTCACTTTCTTCTCTAGATATGGAAAGCTACAAATTTACCAAGGTGGAATACTCAAAACTCCAAAAGGGCTCTAGTTATGATGAAGAGAGTTATAAAAGGAAACTTTTATAACTTGTTAGGGAGAACAATTGTGCAAGAAAAGGAGAACATGGTTGTAAAAGAAGAAGAAGAAGCTCGACAAGGGGTACATAATTTGACCATGAAAGATCTTAATGGTACAAAACAAGGTTTTGGTAAAAATATTTAGCAAGGTGGGGATATTGAAAATTTGTAGTTCTCACTAAGGGATGTGAAGTTGAATGCATCTCATGATTTTCTTTCAAACCAATGCTCAAAATTTGGTGAGGGAAGAGCCGATATGACTAGAGTCTTATAGACAACTTTAATTTTGGTTTTGATTGTTGTTATGATTTGTATAAAATTTGTTATTTCACTTGTTTGTGGTTTTCTTAAGTGGCTTATGTTTAGCCTAGAAAGAAAATGTTGGAATGAAGTGAAATGGGTACTTCAAAATTTGATAAGCATGGGCAAGCATTGCCAAAGCTATGAACATAAAGAAGGTTTTATGGGAACAACTCATACAAAAGGTCTTAGAGATATGAGATAGAACAACTCATACAAAAGGTCACAAAGATATGAGATAGCACCAGTTGTGCTTTAGACGTCTAGGAAAGGTTTCACCTAAAGCATGTCTGAAGGCGATATTGCCTTAAGAATTTAAGGATGAGAGCTTGAAATATGGTGGAGTTTGCATGAGAAAGGTAAGCACAAAGGAAGATGAGCAAGGCAAGCTCATGGAGGTTATTTCGCTAGAGATTTACCGCATTGGATAAGTTCTATAGGTTCTTTAAAAGAAGAATAATCAGCTATGAATGGTAAGGTAAGGATACGGTTTTGCATCAAGGTGTAGATTGTTGGTATAGTAATGCAAATGCAAAATCACCTCTCAATCAGTATTCCGCTTTTTATTAGGGGCATTTTCATCACAAGAAAATGGCTATTTATGAATGCCTCATAAAATAACATTCTAGAAAGAGAAAATATAAGATAGCGAAGATACATTTTGGGGAGATAACGATTGGGGGTTTTGCATAAATCCTAGTATTGTTATGCCCTTGTATTGAGCTGGATTTCATTGGCATTTCTTTGCTGTGATGGAGTTGGTTGATAGTGATGACAAAACTAGTCGATAGATGATGGTATTGTGGTAGGAAAATCAATTTGACTTTTTTTTGCTATTAGGTGGTAATCTCTACAAAACCCACAAATTTGTAAATTTCTTATGTTGATAGTGAATTCATCATTGCCGGTTGCTTGTGGATATAATCCAATTTTGGGTGAACCACGTATATCTGTGTTTGATAGTGATTGGAATATAGTTTGTACTTTGTAGTGTGTGGTTGTGTTTTTTATTTTCTATTTATGCTTCTTTTGATTTTATCTTATTTTTTCCAAATTTATTACACCATATACTAGTGATAGGCAAATTAATTTCGAAGTATTTAGTCTATTGTAGTGGGGGTCAACCCAACAAAGGTTAATTGAGAAAGTCTTGGCTCTCAACAATATGGACCCAAACCCCACACAACAAGATAGGATCTACGCTGAACTCAAACTCAGACCTGACCCACATGCTAGGTCCAGGTAAAGTGGATTCAAACCCTACCTATCATGTTCAATGATTTGGTCTAGATGCAGACATTGTGGGATCTACTTGTCGGGGCACTTAGGTTCAACTTGTTTCCCAACTCAAGGGACAAGCATTCCTTGCTCCGCTCCTTGTTCAATTAAACCCTACCTGATCCTTAAGTCTCCAAAAGCCTTAATTTGAGTCTTCCTTGCCTAATTATGTTAAGACCTTTGGAAAACCCTATATCCATCCCTAACGATAGATCTAATTTTCATTTCTCTCAATTTTGAAGGAGCCTATAAATCCTCAACTATTCAAAATTATAATTCTCAACTGTTCAAAATTCAATAATGTCCAAGCCTCTTCCAAAGTGGGGGAGCGTGCAGACCCCATCAGCATGATCCACACACCAACCATAGGGGTTGGCTTATGAGGCCCATTTGGTAGAGTTTTCCATTTTCCTAGTTTTATTAGTTTGA